CAAAGGCAAAGAAACCACCTAGATGCTGGTTAACTCCCAGTTGCCACAGCTGACCATCAACACCCCTTCCCTTGAGGGAGTATGAGAAGCTGAGACAGAATCAAATTAACCATTACTTTAATTGGGTAGCACAACCAGACTCTTAAATAGAACATTTTCATTACCATCTGAAGTCAGACTAACTGAGTTTGAAGTAAAAAAAGTTCCCCAAGTTTACTAATATAAAATAGAACCACTAGACCCAATTGGAGATAAATACCATAGTCTAGCGAGGAAACATTCTCTATTAGAATCAGAAAAATGGATTAAAATACACTCCTCCCTACATCAACATTCCAATAATTACAGGAAAAACTCGAAGTGCCTTGCCAGTCCCCAAGCTCTATTCACAGTCACCTCAACTAATTGAAGACAAATTAACATGATACACCAGTCATCAGCCCCTGATGGGTCTGTCCATGTTTTTTTCAACATGGGAAAGTACACAACAATTATTTGTAGCGAAAGTTTTTGGCAGTAGACTGATCAATCCCAAGGTGTGTATTACTTTGAGTTTCATCATAAAATGAAAGCTGTTTGTGTACCACAACAAAACCACATACCTGAACAATCAGAAGTGTTCGAGTTACACTTTCCTGTAATGCTATCCCATATCTTGCCATGAGACAGAAAATTTGGACAGGTCCCGTCTGCCAGAAAATATTACAATAAACTCTCTCAATAAGGGACGTCTCAATAATGGTATTATTAGCTGAACATTGGCTATGTCCATTATTGATCACTTGGTCACTAAGTGCATGTTGGAACTTGACAGACTCAGTGCACACGAGCATCCCAGCTGTTCAAAACCCTTGTGAAAGTAATTACTGCACATGATTTGACATACTGAACGATGCGGTGCTGTGGTTAGTTGAGGGCTTCCACAGTTGCTTGCCCCTTATGAGTTTGAACATAGCTATTCAGTCATCTGTGACTCACAGTCAGTATTTCTGTGTGTGGAGCATCATTTTGAAATCCTATTACCATGTTTTATATATGACAGTATTAAAGATAAGTGACCATGCCAGAAGTTATTCCACAGAAAGGAAAGAGGGTGAGTCTCTCAGTAGAAGAGTACAAGAAATTGTTGGAATACTCAAATAAAGTACCTCTGTCTGTCATTATAGCAGAGGATGACATCAGTAATAAATTCACTGACTCCATACCTGGCACAGGAGGAGGGGGCATCACCTATGCCAGGCCAGCATAAAGCAGTACAAGTACTGAAGCACCATAATTAAGGCAAACTGAATTTTTATATTCAGTACAGTACTGTGAAGTATTCATTATCATATAAGATGTACATTTTGATGGTCAGGAATAATATTGTATTATTTATGTATACAGTGGGGAAAAAGGAAACCCTCCCATTAAAAGAGAGGGTTTGTACAAAGCTGTCCTGTACAGTAATGGGAGGGTTTACTGTATTTGGAAACAATGGACTGAATTCCAGCCATGCAAATTGGATAACCATGACAACAGGTGAGAAGGATTCCTTGTACTGCCACATCACATTGTTACACATTTAAACTCTCATAAGACAATGTAAAAGAAGGAAAACATTCATTCTTACCTAACAACAGTAACTGAGAATGGAGGAGAAAAATTGGGTCAACAGCTGCATCAGTTTGAAAGTGGAGAGGAGAGCTAGGAGTAGGCCTAGAATGATGTGATGAGAGGCTGCAAGAGACCACTCAGTTTGGAACGCTGCCATTAGGTAACCACAGTTAACCCCAAGCAAGTATGGAAAATGGTCGTAAAACAGCGATGATGAGGAGTAACTACATGGCCCAGCCAACCATTGTACCAGAGGCATGTATTCAGATGAGAGTTGGACAGACACGACTTTCCTCATCGAAGTTACAGACTAGAGTGATGAGGTTGTTACTGTGAACCTGGTTTGTGACCTCATTAAATAAGGTTCATTTTACACTGGATAGAATAAGCCATGTAAGGTCATCACTTGTCACACTCCCATGCCTTAAACCAAACTGTGACCTCTAATTCATAATCCAAATGACAACTGTCAAAGGGAAGCGATTGACCTTTGGTTTACTTCTGTCACAGATGGTATAACTGGTATGACTAAACTGTGAAAACCCACTTTAGGCATGCATATACGACTATCAGATTAGAAGTCAACACAAATAAAAGTCACCAAAGGATGAGCTCCCAGAGTGTAAATCTGAGAGATAATACACACCTCTAAAAACTGCCCACAAGGAAAAGGCCTTGATAATCCCTGTTAATTAATTCAGCAGACTGCAGATGTGTTGCTCACATGAAAAAAAAATTAGTAAATAAATAAAATAATAATAATCTTCCAGTGAAATGATTTACTCTAACTGCTGATAAAGAAAAGTGGAACTAAAGGTTCCTTCAGCTTAATGAGAAGGCTTTAGTAAGTGTTAGACCACTTCCTCATTATTTTAATTATGCTGGAGGAATTAAATTCCCAGCAATTCTAACTCCATCTACAACAACAAATCACAGTGATGGAATCAAAGAAATATTTGCACTTAAACGGTCTGAATTTCTCCTCCACTGCAGGGTGAAGATAACACAAACCTGCCTATAATCTACTCATATTGCCTTACAGAAACTGGTCTCTCAAATTAGTGAGAATAAAGTTCTATATAGAGATCAAACTTTTAAAACGAAGGCCAACCAATCATTTTTCAGTGTTCTATTGTCAACTTAAGCTGTTTAAACCTTTAATGAACCAAATCTAAAGATGGTAGTCCCTGGTCCTAGCAATGTGTGTGCAAGTTGGATGGATACATCTCTAAAGGACTTACTACTTCTCGTGGGCAACCTTCACACCTGATCTCCCTCATTTGGGAATGACAGTTATAATGGGGAAGGTTGTGCGACTGCTTGATCTACAACTGATTAAAATCAACCCAAAGCTGCCATAATAGGGTCCAAGTCAAACAACTTTAGCACCTAGTAAGATAAGTACTGTAGTGTAATAAGAGACAACTGGCTAAAAGTTGTATAAAAGAACAAAAATGTTTTGTTCAAGTCGTTAACACTTTGCTTCCATTGATAAACACAACTACAAGAGGAATATACTGTTCACTCTGGGATGGAGTCCTTCTTCAGAAGCCTCACAATCCATAGCATGGGAGTGAGTCACTATGCTGGTTTGTAGTTTCTGCATTTATAATCTGATCGTAAAATAAGATACATGTATACCAGCAATTAGCTGCCAATCATAATGAAAGAATATTCATCCCATAGGCTCTTATATTAATACAGAAAATCTGAACTAGAGTTCATCATTCAGCAGAAAATAATGATATTTAACCAGTAAAAAAAATCAAGTATTTTCTATGAATTATATCTCTGACAATTAATATTCCTCTAAAATGTTTCACTTGCCAATTCTCAAAATAACCTAATTAAATACACTGCTCACTGTAGAGTATGGAAAAAAAATTTGAGAAGCATAAAAAATCGAAAGTTTTTTGTAAATACAGTACAGGCTGTAGCACAATATATACGGTACTGTGTACAGGTTTTATGATAAAACCTAGATTACAAATATAGAAACTGGAGAAAAAAAAAATACTTGTAAATAAACAGCACATGGTCAAGTACATGTGCTCATACAGCTTTTATAAGAATTATTTATCCTTCCCTAGATACTGAAAGGGAGGACTGACTCAAGTCTATGGCACCTATTGATTCTCTAGTGATATATCTAAAATATGCATACTCTCTATGTAAATTCTATACACAAAAATAGTATATCCTATCTAATTACAGTGGTCCCTTGGTTAACGAGCACAATTCGTTCTAGAAGATTGCTCGTTAACCGAAAAATTTGTTAACCAAAACCATTGTTTCAATGGGTTTTTGGGTAATTGGTTCCAGCTCACCGAAAGTTGCCCAAAGTCAACAAAAAAGGTAGTAAAGTACACTTACTTTGAGGTGTGTATGTAGAAGGCTCCTGGATGATGATGGGAATTAGAATGGGGGTGGGGGAGAAGGGAGAAGAGAAGGCATTGAGGTGGAAGAGAAGTCACCCCATGGCGCCATTTCATCCATAAAATTTTAGTTCACTAGATGTAATTATTTTCTTTAAATCAACACTGCACTGCATTACATATTGTCAATATGTAAATAAATTTCAAATTGACCAATAATTTTACTGGAAACACAGAAAAAAAGCATTTATGTTGAAGAGAGTCTGAAGCAAGATGTTACCTCCACTGAAAAGACACAGAGACTGACGCCTGCATGGTGTGTTGACAGGCTGTTTGGCGCGCTAAAAACTTAGTTTCCCTGTACTTAAATTATGTTAAATAATTGTTAAAATGACAAAAAATTTAAATATAAGACTTTTAAAATTATTGAATAGTACAAACTTCTTGATATTTACTAAAATAGTAAGGAATTTAAGCCCTAGAACCGATTACTGTATTGGCGGACTAATATGACAGCTAGTGTGCAAGCGAAAACACGTGGAGAGGCGCTCGTAAGGAATTCGTTAATCGAGGGAATGCTCGCTAACCGAAGTTAAGAATCTTATGGAAGGTAATTCATTAACCGAGGCGCTCGTTAACCGAGGGATCACTGTATATCATTCCCATTACCAGAAACTTTTAACATGCAAGGCATAACTTATATACCAGAGTACCTCCATTGCATAAAAATCTACTCGGGGGAAAATATATTTATTACCCATGGGATACCAGCTACCTGTTAAGTCCATTCTCATAAGATGTTAATGTAGAAAGGAAAGAGTACCAGGATATTATTTCGACATCATTAGCATTCTTGTTCATAAGATGACCAAATCTTTGAATGCTTTTAGTGATGATACTATTTTCAGAAAACAGAACAAAAGTTACACACAAACATACAGTAACAATGGACACAGGTTCATGCCTAAAGGTATGTTTTATCTCTATGCAACAGCTCTGATATGTTAAGTTAGGGTTCAACCAACTTACTATGCATGAGTCTCCATTCTCTCAATACTTGATTTCATGAGAGCAATGTTAGAGTCGATCTTGGAGAGGAAATCATTGGGACTGGTTTCAGAGCAGTCGTGAAGGCCACTTGATGTTGACGGTGACCGGCTCACCTTGGGAGTGCTACTTGGTGAGCTGCTGGTTTCAGAACTTCTGCAAAATATACCAAAACCAAATTAAACATTTAATGAGCATACCCCACTACATGATCTTAAGAGTAACTACTATACAAATTGTACCAGTACTGCACAATCAATTGAAATTAATCCTTTTCTACCTCTGAACCTAAAAGAAATTAAAACACTTTTCAGTTACCAAAGTAAACTGATGAGAATTACTGGTACTGTAAACCCATTAAAAATTATTCGGCACCCATGTCATATGGTATCACGCCGTAAGAGTACCAAATAAATTTTTAGTGGGTGTACATGTTCATATAAATGCTCACGACCACACAGGTGTACATAGTCATACAGGTGTACACCCAATAAAAAAGTATTCGGCATGCCTCTTTTTTTTAAGTTGATTTTTCTTGACTTATCCCCATGGGGGGGAGGGGGTAGGGGGGGGTACTGCCAGTAGCGCCCTAACCCGGGGTTTAAGGGTTAATATCACGCATCTAGGATTTCATTATCTCCTCAATATCCTCAACCTTTATTATTTTCACATAAAGCTGTGTAACATTGGCATAGAAATGGTAGGCAACACCATGAGCATCCAGCAGTGATGCAAGACTACTGGTATAGACTATAAGCAAGTGATCCCTAAACTGATCCCTGTGGGACTCGAAAGTGCAAAGAGACCGAATCTAAAATGGCTTCACCAACCATCAAACATTGAGATTGATTTGACAAATAAGACTTAAACAGTGAGAGTGCATTCTCACAGATACCAAAGATCCTGAAACAACAGATGATGATCTGTGTATCTACTGTAATGTCTTAAAAAAAATTTGGGATTTGTTAATACTGTATGTAATTTGTTGATTTCATTAGTGTCAATAATAAAAACCAATTATACTGTATTCGTTGGTGCTTTTCCATAATCTCCAATGAATTTATTTTATTTTTAGATTCCAGTCACAAGTCAGTGCTCAGAATTCTAACATTAGACCAGCTGGCTATACAAAATTGTTCAATCCATTCACTAGATTATTAATTCTACTATCAGTTCTAGATTACAGTCTGGATAAAGTTTTTTTTCTTTGCTAAAATGAATCTTTGGTTGGCGGTACAAAAATTATGAGATCCAGGCAAGCAATCTGTGACTCAATACTCTTAAGAACTTTAGGTTGTTTTGTGAGAAATCAATATACAAAAAGGTTAAGAAAATTTTTACCACTGCATACCACAAGAACTTCTTGTATAAGGTGTCTCACAGGTTGCACACCATAATAATATACTATATATATATATATATATATATATATATATATATATATATATATATATATATATATATATATATATATATATATATATATATATATATATATATATATATATATATATATATATATATATATATACAGTATATATATACAGTATATATATATATCTTCAATTGGTCCTTGTCGCCCAATCTTTGTCAATTCATTATGATTCCGTCACCTGAAGAAAGGAAGAAAAAAATCCTTCAGTGCACGACCTATGAGACACCTTATCCTCAAATAGCTAAACTGCAGGAATTTGTTTTTGCCCACTTTGCTTTCCAATGCAATAATTTGGCCCAAACTACTTAAATACAGCATGATTTGTATAATCCTCCTTGCAGTTCAATCCATGCAATCTTTTCTTTAATGTGAGCAAATCATTCACATTTCTTCTTTGTTTGCACATCACACTCAGAACTTCTGCACTTTAAACTCTGACTGTAAACATGTATGCCAGTATCACTTGATAACATCCTTAGCAATTTTCAAAGTATTGTATACGGTAGTTTTTCATTATCACTATCAGTCTCCCTTACCTACCCTTAACCCACCAGGCCTCAAATATTCAGCTTAACTACTGTACCTGTCTGATCCATTGAAGTGTGCAGGAGGAGTCTGTGGAGAAAGAGTTGATCCAGTGATAGCCTCGTAAACTGCACGACTGACAGGAACTTCCAGGTAGTCATGAAGAAACATGGCCTCTATTGACCAAAGCTTATTGTGCTGCTTAAGGGATTCCATCTGAAAAATAAATTTTCTTATAAGTCCAAGTATATATGACAGGCAACAGAAGTAACAAGAGACCTAGACTTAAGCTAGGCTTGCTTGGTACTGAACCCCTAGGTAGTGAAACACCCTACTAGCAATTCTCCTGGTATGTTTAAATTAATTCTCAAAGAACATTATTCCTCCATACAATTTGGACATCTTTTGCCATTGTAAACATAACTATAGAAAAACCTCCAAATGGTTTAGTCACACAAGTACACCAATAAAACCTCATAGCAAATCCAAAAAGCAGCAATTCTAAAAAATATCAGTCTAAATTCCCGTGAACTATTAAATTTCAATGCAAAATATGCTAAAGTTACAGTACATTACAGTATACATTAGTACATGATAATTATTTGCTTACTGGGCACCAAGAAAAGAAAAAGAACTGATCCGTTGTCATTCGATAATCACTATTACCACGAATTTATACACCATGTATTTTTTTTTTAGTGTGTGTAATTAACTGTGCAAAAGTGCTGCTCAGTTTGTTCACTTGGGTGACCGAGGTTCAGTAAGGTATGACTCAAGTAGATTAGACACAAGACTTGTACCAGACTGTGGCGACAACACCCACAACTATTGACTTACCGTAACACCATATCTGAGTGCTATTCCTTGTAATGTGTCTTGCTTAGAGACACGGTGTCTAATTACGTTCTCCGGCTTCTTCATGTTGACTGAGGTACTGCCGTAGCGTCTGTGAGGTTTATTTGTTGCGCCGAGCAAGCCTTTCTCCTCACTGCTGGCTGCCATGTTTGTTGTGACTGAGGATGAGCCTGCGCGATAATCCTAACTTACTGTCTGTTCCTGAGCTTTTCTTTGTCATACATGGACGTTTATAATCATATTTTTGCAGTGAATTTGTATTGTACTACATGGATTAGTCTATAGATTTATAATATGAAGTGAATAAACTTACAAGATAAATGGCAAGACTTCTATGACCTTGACTGGCACATGTGACCACCACATAACATCAGGTCCACAGATCTACCTGACCCGTGCAGGGGAGAAGGTACGGTACAACATTATGATATATTAAGTTAGCAAACAAGTACGACCTTATAAGAGTACTTAATGGCTATTTTATATGATTCCTTGGTTGGAACACTGTCAAGGATGGACCTTAATTGTATTCCTTTTACTGTATATGCAACATTTCGGAGAAGTTTTATTAAATGTTAGATATCATACTGGTGCTACGGTATGGTATTATACCTGCATTATTCTGTGATTACACTGTGTTGATACAGACACTTTCATAACACAGCAGTAGTTTATTGTTTGATCTACCTCGACCCATCCGAGCAAAGACTACGCTCCCTTCCTTTAAATCATCTCTTAAAAAATATGTCTAAGTATTAATATTTCTTGTAACACCAACTATATTTACAGTACTTGCTTTTTTTGTACCATGAAAACCGTTTTATCGGAAATTATCATGTAAGTAGAAAAGTAATTACCATTGCAATAAACATAATTGCCAACTAGACATAATCCTGATAGCTCTGTCCTCTTGTTCAACCTTATTACTGTACAACCCATGTTGTACTGCTCCCCCATTATACTTATGTTTTTCAATTCCACTGTAATTTATGTATATATAAATGATATAAATAAACAATAATAATAATAATAATAAATAAAATTAATAAATATTGAAGTGATAACCGTGGTAACATTATGAGATGTTCTTATTACCACCATGCTATTGTACTATTCCAGATGATACTAAATGTTACATAATACTTCCTTGAGATAAATGTATAGTATATAATTATCAGGTGCCTAAAAGAGAGCTCAGATTCTCAACAGGCACAGCCATGTTAATATTGTTATTATTATTATTATCCACTCTGTATCTGTGTTTTTCTGGCTAAATAAACTGTTTCATTTCAATTCAATTCAATAAACAGTCAACTCAAGAAGGATTAGCTGTACTGGTCTTCTGACTGAAGATTCCAGTTTTTTAATGGTTCTTGACCACTTTTTTTGTTACAGTTTGCACTTGACCTGTATGTAAGGTGCTTTAACTGGAGTGCCAAGGGTTACGAGAGAGGATTTTACGTGTCAAATAAAAGAACGGGTCCTTTACTGTATGTAAAGGCTTTACATACAGATTAACTTAGGCCATCTCTTCAATATGATTTAAAAAGAGAACTGATTATTTGATTCTGCCTATTAAGTCTATCAATTACGAGGCGGTCTGTGTTGTAGCTGTTAAATTTAATTAAAATTTCTTTTGGAAGTACAATTAATATGATATTTATAGACCATATTACACTCATTTTTACAATTTGAATTAGACTAAAGTAAATTCATATGGATTTTTTCGTTCAATCATCTCCACGATACATATACAGTATGCCTTTCCTTTTTACTTTTACTTTGATTTTATCATCTTCGCCACTGATCGATTCGTTAGCTGCTTGGGAGGTCGGGCACGTCTTTACGCACTGTTGGCAAGTACGGGGCATGCACTGGCTCTGGATATATCTAAACCTGCTCTAGTGTTGGTCAAGGTCTTGAAAGAACTCGCACTCGGTGCCGGCACAACAAACACAATATATTGATTCTCTTCATTTGTATGGGCATCACTCCTCTTTTGTCAAGGCCGTAGCTAAGTACACTTGGTATTCTTCACACACAATATCGGTCACAGGGGCGTGTATTACAAATAAGGGTTAGTAACAGAGCCCTACTAACATGTTCAGTCGTTTGTTTCTTGCTTCCTAGTTGTTGCATCTATTTTGTTTTATTGTACTGTTAGGGGTGGTCACAGGCCCTGGGGAACATTCTGTGTGTATTGGAGAGGCCCTCGAATTAAACTTACATTATCAGTATATAGTAGCAGTCCAAGGTATCTGAGTCAAAAGTAAGCAAGACTGAATAAAATATAAAGGTATCTCTACAGTAGTTCAAGATTTGATAAATTTTTACTTAATAGCAAAATAGATTATCTGATTTTCAAAGGTTTCCATCCCTAGAATTTATCACTATAAAAAAAGCTACCTATATTGTAGTGATGCGGATGGTTTCTGTCAAGGATAAAATACAGTACTAGTAAAGGCGGCGGCACACTGGGCACTTTTCCTCCCAGCATGTTTGGCAAACATGGTCTGACCAGCAAAACAAAGTGACGTTGGCATCACACTGGGCTGTTTTGTTGGCGAGTCTGCCCAACGCAGCGAAAACAACTACTGTACAAAGCGTCTAGACAAGGTTCGCCATGGATCACGTTACTACAGTTGAGGCCTGCTCTCGTCCTTCTTTTTATCAATGATTTATTTCACACTACGACTAATTCTATCCATTCTTACGCTGAGGATTCTACTCTTTACTCTTCTTCACATCCCCCCCCACCAAGACCTTAATCCGCCCCTGACTGTAAATCATGTACTGTATTCAAAGTATTTGATAACGTTAGCATGTATTATTTGGATTTTATGGTATAAGTATCCAATACTGAATTACTTTGTGAATATGTGTCTGTTTTTAGCAATTTTCGGGTTCTAAATTATATTAAGGAAGAGGACAAATGCAAGGGTGCAACAAGTTATTATTTCATTAATTGTCATGTTCTTAAAGACACACCCCTGAGAAACCAAAGTTGGCAGGAGTTTTAATGTGGTACAAATGATTACTGACTATGGTAATTGACAAGGAACAGTTATAATAGTTCATAACGTTAATATATTTATGGTGGATGGTATTTCATATATCATCTTATATTATTTATTTAATCAATTTATTACACCCAAAGGGACGACAAACCCCGTCACACGCTATTTATAACTTGTGATATGAGTCCTATGGAGACATTGATGTGAGTTGAGGACAATGGGGTCATTTTTTAGAAAATCTTCAATGTCATTAAAATTTCCAAAATATTTAATTAATTTATGATTAAAGTTATATGAAAAATCAACCGGATTTTCAATTTTATAAAATTTTCAAGGGAGAGCTGACTCCAGTGTTCCTTTGGTACACTGTGGCTATCACCTGACTATGCTATGGCCTTGGTCCAAACGTCTTTATAGAGGTGTGTGTGTAGGCTTGGAGAAGGGCTAGTGGTGGGAGTGAAGGGTTCTCGGCGACCCCCAGAATGTGGGACACTGGAATAATACGCCCGTGATGATCCCTGCCTCAGGAGGCACACCACCTGACCACCACATTACGCACGTCAAGGATTGTCCTCCAAGGTAGGGCTACTACAGGCACGCGCTCCTGTTGTACCTCATTGTGATCAGAGTGACTGTGCCTCTAGATGTATGTTATACAGAGTAAACAAAATAGATGACCATCAGGCTGGCTGAGTGTTCCAGCAACACACTACGTGACTAGTACTAATAAGCTCACGCCCAGGTCGATACACAGTTCAACTTAAAGCATTCCTATCCCACGCCAGTGGGATAGGAATATTCCTTGTTCTATCAAATATATTTGTATTCATTGCTACAGCTGTTTGATGATAAATAAAAATCAGTTGAACAATAATTTCATAATTATATTCTTGCCTCGAAACGTCTGAAGAATAAGAGAGACAGAGACAGACTAAACAATTGTTTACAGATCACCAAAGCTGGACGCAGGCTGTTGATGTATATGAAGGTGAAAAAAGTCACCAGACTCACAGTGTTGTATTTGGAACAAAAAATCAGAGCAGAAAACAAAAACACACAGCTATCGAGTGAAATAAGAGGCAACAACTATAAAGAAGATATTTATCATCCTGGCAAAGCACAAAATTAGCCGAAGTTTAATTATCATGAGTCAGCTAAAAAGGACTCACACTAGCAGGTGTGTGAGAAGTTCCTTATACCCCAAGCACGCCAGAGTACACCATGAACAATGTGTATAATGAAGGTAAAACCGGAGTGTTTAAATTTTCATAAGTAATTCATGAACACATAAAGGATGTCGAAATGCAGTTAATAAAATATAAATCGACAATAAAGGTTATAACAAAGAGCAGTGAATCAATAAATAATAAATAAATAAAGTTATCCGGCAGGAACTTCGTCAATATAGTCAAATTAAGTCAACACTAACTCTCCTTATGGGGAATTCAGAAGTATAGAATAAGACTGGCAGGCTAAACCATTATTCCCATTAAATTTGTTTATGTAAAATCACGTCGACTAAGGTCTACGTCTCACAATCCTGGTTTGCTCTTTGGATTCTGATAAGAGGGTAGTTTAATGGTTTCACGTTGCTTTCCTGAACTCTTATAGCAGTTGCCTACTCATAAGGTTGATGCTACAGAGTTGCTTTACCTTTACTGGCGTGAGAGTCAGCCGGCTGTCACCAGCTTTCTGGGTAAGTTTATCTACCATGAGCAGAGTAGATATTGTTGTTGACTCGCCATCTCCTGTAACTCCAGACTCGTGAAGGGAGGAAACTTCTCATATTTCTCGTAGTTAGACGAAGCAAAAGTTGTCCCGTTTGTTACTTGAGTTTCATGTCCAATTGCTATTATTAATTGATGCTTTGAAAATACTCTTGTTGCAACCCCATGGAATTACGTCATATTGCATCGCATGCAGATTTAAATGGAATTTTAGTTTTTTATGGGGATTAGCCCACCTGGGCACAGGTCACCGACCTACATCGAGGCCTGGGGGGTGAAGAAAAAAATGAGCCATAAATAAATATAGAAATGGAAAAAAATAAAACAGATCAAGAGTGAAAAACGATATATATGTTGTGTTGTCAAAGTAAGAGAACATTTTGAGGCCCTGCAATTGTGTGTAAATGAG